ACTCCTGTTTCTCACCTTCCTGGGTCCCAAACTTGTCCAGTGTCCTCCTGTGGGGACGGCAGGCCCAGGACGCTCAGGCCCACGGAGTCACGGCGGGAGGGGGACACTCGAGAGGCAGTGGCAGCGTGCCCTCCAGCTGAGTGCCAACGCGCAGGCTCCCAGAGTGGGCCCCAGGGGACCAACACCTTTCTGAAATTAGCTGCACTAACCGGACTGCTGGTGCGAGCCCACAGAGCTCCTCCCTGGCCCAGAAACTGCTGCCCAAGCCCCGCGCCTGCAGTGGCCCCTCATGGGACCGTGATCCAGGCCAGGCCACCCAGGGGATGTGCAGGCGTAGGGGGCAGGGGCGGCGAGACTGGCGGTGATGCTGTCAGTGTTTGGAAGAATAAAAAATGGTGTGTGGGTCGCTCTGACACCTTCCAGGTAGGGTCTCCGAGGAGGGCTCAGAGACGAAGGGGAGAAAGTGCCCAAAAAGACAGGACCACGGATGGGTGCTGTCCCTGCCTGCTCCCGATGTGGCTCTGACCTTTGGCCTGTCCCTCACCAGGTCACCTCTGAGCTACCCAGTGCCATCTCCGGCTGCTGTCAGCTCCAGCTCCATGTTGGGGGACAGTGCCACTGGCTTCTCCAGAGACAGACTCCTCCGCATGGCTCCCCACTGAGGGCAGGCAGCGGGGCAGAGGTGGGCAGAGGTGAGGAGCCGTCATGTCAGCAAGAGCGCCACCTCACCTGGTTAAACAGTTCATGAAAACCTATAGACAGTTTCTACATTATCTTTGAAAGTTTGAAAATGATTTGCAAAAACAGTTTAAGCTCTTAGACCCCCAAGTGTAGGACTCCTGTTCTCTGCCGAGGGACAGGGGCCTCTATGGGGACCATGGACTTGCACCCCCACCCCAGTCTGGGCCTGGGTTCAGTGTGGGGCTCCCTCCGCCTGCCTGGACCTCATCTGCTGCCTTCCTGGGTGCAGAACTTGGTCTCTGAGGCAGACACTAGGTTTACAGGAATCTGGACATTCCCCCCCCGCCCCACTTAAATCTCCCAGGGGTGGGTCTGTCTGACAGAGGAGGGAATGAAGCTGACCATGCCCAAAAGGCACTGTCCTGATTGGCCAGAATGGAGCCACTCCGGTAGGTGAAGAAGCTGATTGGGTGGGGGGCGGAAATACAGCTATACAGCTCTGATGGATGGGGAAGGCCTCCATCCTATTGGTTGAGGTGGGATTCCAGGAACTCCTTCATAAGGGCCGGCTCAGATGGAGAACTGCAGGGCAGGCAGGCGGTCCAGGGCGGGCTTCTCCCTGCCCTGCCGTTGGCATGTTTGCACGAGAGGCTCCTGTGTAGAAATGGCTGCTAGGCTCCATTTAAACAGTGTGAGCCCAGCCGGCCATGGGAGCCCTTTTTAGTGGGTATCTTCTTTCTCCAGTTACTGTCAACACCACCCTCTACAAATGTAAAAACCAGCTCAAAGGCCGAACTACAACAGGCCCAGCCCGCTCCAGCGAGAGGATATTTAGAAAAAAGAGGGGCCAGCGCTGGAGAAGTGGGAGGCAAAGGGTCTGTGCGGCTCCACCCACGCCGCAAATTTTGGCAAATGACCTTTGAGGGGGCCAGACACTCTCACTAGTGGCCTTGGTGGGCAAGTTGGGCTGCGATGGAGAAAGGTGACAGAGCTGGGCAAGGCCTACCCAGCTATCCTGCTCACGTGTCCCCACCCAGGTGTCCCCACCCCAGGCCTCCTCACTCAGGGGTCCTCACCCCAGGCCTCCTCACTCAGGGGTCCTCACCCCAGGCCTCCTCACTCAGGGGTCCTCACCCCAGGCCTCCTCACTCAGGGGTCCTCACCCCAGGCCTCCTCACTCAGGGGTCCTCACCCCAGGCCTCCTCACTCAGGGGTCCTCACCCCAGGCCTCCTCACTCAGGGGTCCTCACCCCAGGCCTCCTCACTCAGGGGTCCTCACCCCAGGCCTCCTCACTCAGGGGTCCTCACCCCAGGCCTCCTCACTCAGGGGTCCTCACCCCAGGCCTCCTCACTCAGGGGTCCTCACCCCAGGCCTCCTCACTCAGGGGTCCTCACCCCAGGCCTCCTCACTCAGGGGTCCTCACCCCAGGCCTCCTCACTCAGGGGTCCTCACCCCAGGCCTCCTCACTCAGGGGTCCTCACCCCAGGCCTCCTCACTCAGGTGTCCCCACCCCAGGCCTCCTCACCCAGGTGTCCCCACCCTGGGTTCCCACCCCAGGTCTCCTCACCCAGGTGTCCCCACCCCGGGTTCCCACCCCAGGCCTCCTCCCTCAGGTGTCCCCCCCCCAGGCCTCCTCACTCAGGTGTCCTCACCCCAGGCCTCCTCACCCAGGTGTCCCCACCCTGGGTTCCCACCCCAGGTCTCCTCACCCAGGTGTCCCCACCCCGGGGTCCCACCCCAGGCCTCCTCACCCAGGTGTCCCCACCCTGGGTTCCCACCCCAGGTCTCCTCACCCAGGTGTCCCCACCCCGGGGTCCCACCCCAGGCCTCCTCACCCAGGTGTCCCCACCCTGGGTTCCCACCCCAGGTCTCCTCACCCAGGTGTCCCCACCCCGGGGTCCCACCCCAGGCCTCCTCACCCAGGTGTCCCCACCCTGGGTTCCCACCCCAGGTCTCCTCACCCAGGTGTCCCCACCCCGGGGTCCCACCCCAGGCCTCCTCACCCAGGTGTCCCCACCCTGGGTTCCCACCCCAGGTCTCCTCACCCAGGTGTCCCCACCCCGGGGTCCCACCCCAGGCCTCCTCACCCAGGTGTCCCCACCCTGGGTTCCCACCCCAGGTCTCCTCACCCAGGTGTCCCCACCCCGGGGTCCCACCCCAGGCCTCCTCACCCAGGTGTCCCCACCCTGGGTTCCCACCCCAGGTCTCCTCACCCAGGTGTCCCCACCCCGGGGTCCCACCCCAGGCCTCCTCACCCAGGTGTCCCCACCCCGGGTTCCCACCCCAGGCCTCCTCACTCAGGTGTCCCCACTCCAGGCCTCCTCACTTGGATCCCCTCACCCCAAATCTCCCCCCATGTTGCCTCTCCAGCGGCAAAGCCATGAACACTCTGTTCTCCTAAAGGAGTGTTCTAGAAACCTAAGCAAGCTACATAGTTATTGCTCAGAATTTTTGGAAGGTCTGCCTCAGAGACATCAGGCACCCCCGTGCACAATTCCAGGCTGGACAGGTGGGTGGGTGGCAGAAGGCAAAGCTGTCTTCCAACATGACACCATCCAAGGATCCAGGCGATGTCCCTGAGGGTCCGAGGAGGCGGGTGTGGGGGCAGGTGTGGGGGCAGGTGGGGAGGGGCGGCTTGGAGACAGAATGGCCTCATCAGGCACATTTGCACCCTGTGTAGCCTGGTCTCCCCGACCCACGTCCCATCCTGCCCCACCACCATCTGCCACGGTGTCGCTGGTGATCTGGCCCACAGGGGACCCTGGGCAATGTCGGCATGCATCTCTCAGTGCTGGGGTCCAACCCCAGCAGGTCCAGGGGTCCCCAAAGGTGTGGGCGGAGTCAGCAAAGAAAGAATGACATGGAGACAGTGTTCAGTTGATCAGCATG